TAATATGTTATTTTATTTTCCATGTTTTTTTATTTTATTTTCTATTTTATTTCATCATTTTTTATTTTGAATTCATCATTTTATTTTCTTTCTCATTTCATCTGCGATTGATTTATCTGTTGTTTACTTGGCCTTGTGCTATGATCCCCCAATATTCCTAGTCCCTTCGTTTAGGATGGGAGTAGGAGAGACATTAGGTGTTCAATCCTATGCATGATAATATTAGGATAGTTTTGTTCCCTTTCATCTCAATCTTAGGATCACCATTGCATGACAACTTTAGGCTTGGATTTAGTCCCCCTTTAGTGTCCTTTCTCTTCTCATCTCAAAACAATCATAAAACACTTAATAAAGATAATGGATGTTGTGCCATGAGCCTTATATTTGGGGAATGGTAGTTGAGGGGCCACCTCTCGATTGCCTAGAGTGTTTAGTATACGTCCTTAGGGTGATATGCGACGCATTCGATCCTAGGTTCTAGACTTTGGTACAACATGTATTATAAATACTCCAATTCAAAACACTTCTTCTCTAAAAAACACAAAAACATTTCAAACCTTTTTCACCCTTTGGGGTTCTTAATCAGGAAAATCATTTTCATAACAAGAGTGTTGTTAACTCTTAGTTCTACCGCAAACGGTAACGCCTAAGTCTCCCATGCTCGAGCTGCATACGCCAACTGCTAGAACTACTTATTAACCCTACTCGGGCCTAAACAGTTGAAAAAACCTGTGTTCCCCCGTTAACCCGAACTACATTTGCTCTGATCTTTCATACCAGATGAAAGTACATAGGCACAAGATGGCGATGTCTTGGCGAGCAACCTTCCCCCCTTTCACCCATAGTTAGCCGAACTACATTGAATCTGACTTCTTATTTCAAATGAGATATGTAGGCATAAAGCCATGAACTACACAACTCTGAATTCCTCATTGCACTATGAGGATGCATAGGCACGAGGGCCCCAGTCCTCCGCGAGCACTTTCTTCGTTCCTTTCCCTTTCCCTCTTTAGTGAGTATCCTTTAGATATATAACTCATCTGATCCTAGAAGCTTTTAGAATGGCTCCTGTCGAGTACAACAGATGCGTGAGGTGCTAATACCATCCTCTCTCATAATCGACTCTCTTACTCGTTTCTCTCCCCCTTGGGTTTTATTGATATTTTCCCTGCCCTTTGGGACTAAATAAAGTTTAATGGCGACTCTGTTGTATCTTTGAGCGTGCGATGCGTTCAGGTATAATCTTGCTAGCTTCACTATACCTATTTCCATATGGATGACTCCAAAATTACATTTTCTCATCTTAAACTTCTTTAGGATGTCTTTGGCATATTTATTTTGATGCAAGAAAAGCCCATTTCTTATGTTTACAAACTCCATTCCCAAAAAATAGGACAACTTTCCAAGGTATGAAATTTAAAACTCAAGCATCATATTATCCTTGAATATTATGAGTTCATATTCATTTGATCATATGCCTAATATGTCATCTATATATAGGCACATGCTGATTTGATTATGCTCATCTAGATTCTTCATATATACTTTATGTTCTGATAAGCACTTGGTGAATCATGATTTAATGAAAAAGCTAGAAATTCTCTTATTCCACGTTCTAGGATCCCGCTTCAATTCACATGGAGCCTTTTCTAATATGTACACACTCTCTCTTGTCATTTGATATCAAAGCTTGGGTGTTTCTTTAAATAAAATTCCTTCTCTTTTGGTCCATTAAGAAAATGAGACTTTACATCCAACTGATTTATTTTCCATCCATTGTATGTTGAAATTGCAACCATTATTATTGTGGTTTCAAGCCTTGTAACCGGAGCATACATCTCATTAAAGTCCATTTCAAGCCTTAAAAGGAAGTTTTTTTTGCAATTAGCCTTGACTTATACTTGATTATCTCACCATTTAATCCAAGTTTCAATTTATAAATCCATTTCACATCAATAGCTATCTTGCTTGACCTATTAGTTAACTCCCAAGCTTGTTCTTCTCAATTGCTTTGGGTTATTCTTTCACAGTTTCTTGCCAGTTTTCATCTTTTAGTGTTTGCTTTAGATCAATTGGTTCTAATTCAGTTATCATGGATTCCTTCGTTAAGTCACATTCTTCATTTATTGATTGATTAAGAAATCTTTCATAATCAACTAATCTCACTGATTTAGTTCTTGATTTGGTTGAACTTTATCTCCTTTTTTTCTTATGCCAATTACCCTCATTGAACTTCTTGTAGCACACTTCTTACACTATTTGAGTTTTCATCATTTTGCATTGGATTACTTGAAATTTTTAGCCAATCCCAACTGTTTCTTTCATCAATCTGTACACATCTATCTACTTATTACCACCTTATTCTCATTTGGTGAGAATATTTTATACACACATGTTGAGCGATAGCCTACGAAAATCCTAGGTTGACTTATATTATCAAGTATCCTTCTTAATTGTTTCAAGTACATGTTTGAAACAAAGTGATCCAAAGATTTTCAAATGAGCAACACTTGGCTTCATACTTGCCTGAGATTCATAAAATGTCTTTCTCATCTTCTTCTTTGTTGGACACCTGTTGATGATATGCATAACAATTAAGGTTGCTTATCCCTTAAAAATATTTGGCATTTGTCTTGCTTTGAGCATCCTTCTTACCATATTTATGCTCATGTTTTTTATTTTAGAAATACCATTGTGATGAGGTGTATAAAGAGCTAAAATTTCATGCTTAATACCTTCTTTATCATAGAATTGTACAAACTCATTGGAAGTATATTCATTTCTTATATTAGTTCTCAATTTTTTAACCAACAACTTTAATCTCTTGAACTGTATGAATACTTCACTTTTCTTTTACATAAATTAAATCCACGTATATGTAGTGAATTCATCTATGAGAGTTAGAAAATAACAATTATCTCCCATTGATTTCACTTCAAATGGTCCACAAAAATCTAAATGCACAATCTTTTGTTTTTGTTTCGACTTCATAGGCAAGTCATGTTTGAATGACTTCCTTTCTTGCTTAGCTACACAACATTCTTCATACAATTGTTTTGAAACTTTAGTTTGAGAAAGACCATAAATCATCTTCTTCAAATACATCAAGCTTATACTTTTAAAATTCATGTGGCTATATCTTTGGTGGCATATCCAATTCTGACCATCAATAACTATTTATGCAAGACATTATGCAAGACATTGATGGTCAAGCATATTGATCAAAAATTTGAAAGTCATGTTGTTTGACAAAGGTAACTTTAAAATTATCTTAACATTTGTATTAAACACCTTTATTTTCTTATTCTCTAACTTTATGGTGTAGTTTTATCAAGAAAGTCACCGAAGCTAATCAAGTTACTTTCCATATAAGGAACATATAACAAATAATTGATTATTGCTTATTCTCCACATTTCCCTTTCACAAGAATGTTCCTCGTGTCCTCAAATGTGAATTTGTTATTATCATCATCAGATTTAATGACTCTTTCCACTCATTTGTCTAGTCTGATAAAGCAATCCTTATTTCTAGTCATATAGTCATTATAGCTTGTGTTAAGATGCCACACATTAATCTTATCTTGTGCCAAATACGTATTAGCCATGAACGTAGCTTCATCTGAATCATTGTTACATGTATGTGGAAATTATGCTTCTTCTCGATCACTTGTATTAAAGTATTTATTAAACTAGCAATCTCTTATATAATGACCAAATTTATGGCAGCAATAAAATTACAACTCCTTCATATCAACCTCCTTCTTGAACTTCTTGTTGTTGAAAACACCGATATGACTTAACTCCATTTGGTTCTATGTGTTATTACCAAAAACTTGTATCATTCCACTTCTTCTTTTTCCACCTTTCTTTTCCTTTGCTAATCTTTAATGCTCTCTCTCTCTCTCTCTCTCTCTCTCTCTCTCTCTCTCTCTCTCTCTCTCTCTCTCTCTCTCTCTCTCTCTCTCTCTCTCTCTCTCTCTCTCTCTCTCTCTCTCTCTCTCTCTCTCTCTCTCTCTCTCTCTCTCTCTCTCTCTCTCTCTCTCTGTGTGTGTGTGTAAATATATCAAGTATAGTTAAAAAAACAATCTAGTACATTGAACATCAGATATAATAAAGGAAAAAAGTTATTTTATACTGTTATATATTGTTTTGTGCTATTCTGTTAAATACTTATTATTTGAATGATCAAACGCACCCAAAGATGCAAAATCCACCAATCTTTTTATTTTTTGAAATCTTGGTATCCGACCTTGTGACAGACTAATCCAAGGGGATCAATCCCACCGTCTACTAGCGAGGGCTCCATTTAAAGTCGAGACATTGCTTCATATAGACTGCCCCAACATAAGAATTGATTGCACATAACAAGATTCAAACTTGAGACCTTGAAAGGAGCACACTTTCAAGACCCAAGCCTCCACACTAGATCAACCCTTTGGGGTTGCAAAATCCACCAATTGATTTAATGAACTATTTCCATAAGATAAATATTATTAAATTAAAGTTTTTAATCATTTATAAGTTGTTGATATTATTATGTTGGATATAATATTTTGAAATAATATTAAATTTAGTTTTGATGGATTAGGTATATGCTACATCCTCACTATTTATTTATTTTTTCAATGAAAAACTTTATTTAAATAATAATAATAAATTAAAAGGGATGCATATTCATTAAAAAATCGATAACTATAATAATTAAAAAAATGGACAGAAAATCGTGGGCATCATTAAGGTGGTATTGTGGTCGCGGGTCAGCATCCTGTAACTTATACAGTTACCGTAAATCGCAAACCGTCTGCATTTAATAAATAACTTGTAACATTTTAAACAATATTCTAAAATTGTTCGAAGAAGAACCTGAATGCTATTTAGTCCATATTCACACACACCAACCCCAAAACCCCCAATTCTCCCGCATTATAACTCTTGTATTCCGTTCATTTCATTCATAATCACCCACCGTCACACAGTAACGACGTCGTCGAATAGAAGAAATGATGACCGAGAAGAAGTCATTGCTACAAGATCTAATTGAAATTTCAGGTGGTTGTGCTGTTACTGATGGGGGATTTGCCACACAGCTTGAAAAACACGGTGCTTCCATCAATGGTCTTCTTTGGAGTGCTATTTCTTTGATCAAAGAGCCACATCTTATCAAAAAGGTTATTTTTTTTTTCTGGCTTTTTTTTGGTCTGTTTTTGCTTCATTTCCGTAAATCTTCACTGAATTTATATACTGTTGATAGGTTCACTTGGAATATTTGGAGGCTGGGGCAGATATATTGGTTACTTCATCTTACCAAGTAAGTTTCAGAATTTTTGGTTTAAGTTTCTGCTTCCAAATGCTTTGTGCTTTCGGAAATGTGTCAATTTTAGTTGAAATTGTTATGAAAGATGAAGTTCATCCTATTTTGCATGTTATAATAGAAGACTCGTATAGGCTTATAACAGCAGTTTTGCAAATTTGAAAGTCAATCATTTTATTGGTACTAAGAGAGTAAGTTTTTATTTGATTTGATTAGTTCTTTCTTTTTAATATAAAAAATGCAGTATATTTGCTAGGAGTAGGATGGCAAACGGGGCATGCCCGCCATGCAAAAGCCTGCAAGAAAAAACGGGGCGGGGCAACGGGGGCATAGTTTAGGGTGCGGGCTGAAACCCTTGGCCTGCCCTGTGGAAAAATGCGGAAAAAACGGGTTGTCTGGCAAGCTGTACCCATTTTTCCACCCCAAGGAGTGCAGTTTTCATTCATGATTTTTACGAGCAACATGAAGGATATTGACACGCATGATTTGTGTAAGATATAAACCTCTGACATGTAAAACATTTTTTATTTTTTTTTTTATTTTCTTTATTTCATTTCTCTTTGCCAAGTATAAATCTTGAGTATGTGGCTGAAAATTTATAGTTTTCTTATAAAAATTCTATAATTATAGGCTACCATTCCTGGATTTTTGTCCAGAGGGCTGTCCACTGAAGAAGCAGAATCTCTATTACAGAGGAGTGTCAAGTTGGCAGTTGAAGCTCGTGACAGTTTCTGGACATCGGCTAAAACAAATCCTGAAAACAAATATAGAAGAGCTTTGGTTGCAGCCTCCATTGGAAGCTACGGGGCTTATCTTGCTGATGGATCAGAGTACAGGTGCTTCTACATTTCTTAAATGTCTGTAGAGGAATTGTTTTTGTGTACTTTTGCTATCTTAACTGAATTTTTTTCTGTTGGTTTTGTTTTTTGCAGGGGACTGTATGGACCTGATGTGAATTTGGAGAAGTTGAAGGATTTTCATCGCCGTAGATTGCAAGTTCTTGTTGATGCTGATCCAGATTTGCTTGCTTTTGAGACCATTCCAAACAAACTTGAAGCTCAGGTATTTTCTTTTAAGTCAGTAAACTTGTTTAGTAGATAGTTAAGCATACTTTGCTATGATTCCTTAAACTAAAATTATTGCAAACCATAAGTGTATATCTTTGGCAATGTTGTAATGGCAGTTCTACTAGCTGCGTCATGCTCAGATACAGAAACAACTAAAAATTAGAAGCCTCAACTTATAAATTTCTCATTAATAGAGAAAGCGTCAAAACCAAAATCAAAGTAGCCTCAAATCAAGGCTCTCAACCTCTCTCGTAAAATGAGCATAGATTTCTTTCATATTGTCAAGATGAGGCAATCATAATCTGATAGAGACCCAAGAAATTGATATAGCAAATGGGATAGTTTTTTTTATTGAATTGAAGAAATGGAAAAGGAAATACAATAGTAACCACCAGAGCAAACTGCAGCAAACTGTTTCTACCAGAATAATAACTCCTGATTGAAATAAAACAATTACCTACCCCTCAATAACACTACCACGAGCATATATAACACTCTCTAAGTGTCCCCACTAACCTTTCTTCTAGACTAAACTTCCCAATTAGTGGGCATAAATGGACCCAGCACAACATCAACATTATGGACCCTATCACTACCCTCTCCTACAAAATGAGCCTTGTCCTCAAGGCTATCATAAGGACAATGATTCAGCAATGGATTTTCACTTTCCCAGCTGATAATTTCCTTGCTTTCCTCCCACTGTGTGACTTTTTTTGGCTGCACAATACTCATGGTGGCTATGTTAAGTTGTGGCTGCATAATAAGGCTTTCCTTCAGTTCTTTTCCTGCATATTATTTTGTGTGGATAATGTTGTACAGAGGGTTGATAATAGCCTTGCCCATTTGTGTCTCCCTTTCAAGTTGCTCATTCTTAAATTTAGTTTCCTGCAATTTCTTTACTTCACCTTTCCAAGAAAAGCTAATGGCTCTTTCTTTCCAATCAAAGTTCACCTTACCTAATCCTTGCAGCCAATTCACTCCCAAAACAATATCAATGTCTTTTAATTCTAAGACATAAGCTTCCACCCTAGTAGAAAACTTCTAAAACAGAATTTCCATTTCTTCACTTTTCCCCACAGCAGCAGTACGATTACCATTCCCCAATTTAACACATGCTCCCTTACTTTGATCTACATATAGCTGTAACAGTGTTGTTATTTGAGGAGAGATGAAGTTATGACTAGCTCCGGTATCAATCATAACCGTCACAGCCACCCCTTTCACCATTCTGACAAGTTGCAATGGAGCAGAAAAAGGAATTTGAATTCTACCTTCCAGTTCGGTATTGCACACTGCCATCATCTTACAGTCCACTGTTGCTTCCACTTCTTGCAGTTCGATTGCCATAATTTCATTGTTGTTGTTGACAGCTTCATCATCACCCATGATCACTAACCTCAATTGTTTCTTCGCACATTGATGGAGAGGAGTATAGCGCTCTCCACAACGGAAACAAAGTCCTCTTGCCTTGCGATCTGTTAATTCAGAATATGGTAGATGTTTGACACCTCTGTTCCGATCACCATGGTTGTCTCGTCGTGTACCCTCTCTGCTCGTTTGCATTGCGGAGTTCTGATTAGGATTCAAATTGGATTGACCAGTTTGCAATTGGGTTCCAAGCAACGGATCATATTCAGATTTCTCTTTTGCCAGGTCCGAGTAATCATTCAACCCATTTTGAGTTTTAAACTTAAGCCCATTTTCCATTTCTCTTCCCACATTTGCAAAACGACCTTTGCTGTTTTAGGCAGCAACTTCCCACCTAATTAATCTTCCACATCACGCGCTAATTTCATTGCCTGCAACTGTGAATGGGGATTGAAGGTTCTCACTTTCAATCAGAGCTCTGGTTCGAGTCCTCCGAGAAAATACCCTAAGTATTGCTCCTCCGACAACCTTCTCACGTGAGAAAAAATGTACTCAAACGCACTGATGTAGTCTTCGACGCTTCCTTGCTGCAAATCCTTTAGTTCCTCAAATGGATTATCACTCTGTCTCCCTCCATACTTATCATCAATGCTTGTTTCAGTTTCTCCCATGTCATATTTTTCTCTGTTTCTCACAAGAGATTGTACCAGATGATTGTTGCTCCTTCCATGCTTATCTTAGTCAATCGAACCTTCTCTTCCTCCGTCGTTCCTCGTACGTCGAAAATCGTTTCTGCACGCGTGATCCATCGAACACGATCCTCACCATCAAATGAAGGTAACTCCACCTTCTTCACCGCCATCCGATACCCCGACACTGTTAACTCCACAACAGATGATGACTGTTTTTTCAGGCTCATCTCGAATCTTTGAGAATTTTTCCGCCAAAGTGAGACGAAAATCAGCAAGCGTTTGGCGAAACGCTTCCTCCAATGTCAACACTCTCGCCTCAAACGCTTCTTCCATAAATAGAACTCAGATTCTCCAATTCATTCATTCTCCCCAGTATTTTTGGTGGCATTAATCACAAATTCACTGGCTCCTCTCGATGAATTCGGTAGGTCGAACCAATGATAGAGACCCAAGAAATTGATATAGCAAATGGAATAGTTTTTTATTGAATTGAAGAAATGAAAAAGGAAATACAATAGTAACCACCAGAGCAAACTGCTCCTACAAGAGTAATAACTCCTAATTGAAATAAAACAATTACCTACCCCTAAATAACACTGTCCACGTGAATATATATCACTCCCTAAGTAACTACTTGTCCCCACTAACCTTTTTTCTAGACTAAACTTCCCAATTAGTGGGCCTAAATGGACCCAACCCAACATCAACAATATGGACCCTATCATAATCTTAAGTATGGTTTCTCAATTGGTAAGCATTCATATCATTGATAATACTGAGATGATGCATTTAAATGTATGTATAGAAGTGAAAATTTTCTCTAAGTTTTTTACATAATTTCATGATTTAGCTATCTGCATATGCTATTTCCATAATATTTTATTTTGTTGAGTTGTTCAGAAAGATGCATATATCGGTAAAACCAAAAGTTCTAACACTATCAAGATAAACTTCCTATTTATCTCTATTATTTTTAACAGCTAAATATTTAGGAAGCTTTCTTTGTATTCATATACAATCTATTTTATTGCAGGCTTTTGTTGAATTAGTTGAAGAATTAAACGTCCAAATCCCATCTTGGATCTGTTTTACATCTGTAGATGGTGAAAATGCTCCCTCAGGAGAGAGTTTCCAAGACTGTCTTGAAGTAGTAAATAAGAGTAGCAAAGTAGAGGCAGTTGGTATAAACTGTGCACCTCCCCATTTTATAGAAAGTCTCATCTCCAAATTTAAGCAGGTACCTCTTACATCTCATGTCATTATTAGGTTGAATACTTGAAGAATAATTTTGGTGCTGCTTATAGTGGAATGCAAAGTTTATAGTCCTGTTGCTGCAGTTGACAAAGAAGGCAATCATTGTTTATCCCAACAGCGGAGAAGTATGGGATGGTATCGCAAAAAAATGGCTTGTAAGTCGGGGTTTTCTTCCTCCATCTCTCATTCATTCATTTTATTTCTTGTACCTCTTGATTAATCTGGATCCTCTACAGTTGTCTAATTGTGTTTTTAAATTTCTTTTCATCGACAGCCATCCAAGTGTTTTCATGACGATGATTTTGGATTTAATGCAACAAGATGGCGTGATTTAGGAGCTAAAATAATAGGAGGTTGTTGCCGGACTACACCCTCCACCATTCAAATTATTTCAAATGCTTTAAGAAAAAATATTTAATTTTGTGCTCATTTTCAATTTACGAGATTTTGTCAAGAAATTTTCCATAATTTGAAGTATAAATTTTAGTTCCTTTAAATTATTCATTCAAGTTGAAAGCAAGCGGAGTCTTCTTCTCTGATGAGAGTTACCTGTGGAGAATTTTGGCGTAAAATGTATTATAAAGTATAGTTCAGTTGCTGCAATGCAAAGTAAAGTCAAATGCTAAATTCAGGTTATACAGATAAGTGTACACTACTCTAATGCATATTTTTACATACATGAATTCAATTTTAAACATTTTAAAAACACATACATTATTTGAGGGCAAGTGTATTTGTAAATGCAGAAAATTATAGAAAATACAAAAAATAACAGAAAATAATTTATCTATGAAGGGAAATATTAATAAGATGTATTTTAATTGAAGAGTTCACTAGGTACGTGGTATTTGAAAGGAAACATAAAAAAAAAAATTCAAATAAAATAAATATTTTATTTTATAATAACTAAGCATTTTTGTATTTATTCTACGTGTCTTTTTCGGCAATATCGAAAGTTCTAAGAGTTCGATTGACATAATCTTTAATATGTTGCAAAGTTTAAAAAATAATTTACAACTCATCTGTTGGGGTCAAGATGAAATTATGTTTTTTTTTACTCGAAAATCATCATCAATAAAAATAAAAAGATGAAGGAAATGCAATGAATATCCACTTTTTCCACTACTTTTAAGTGTGTGATCTTTCTTTTCCAAACCATTATTAATAGGTTAGTGGGTTGAAGTTGTAGAATTTCCTGAGTTATTATTGTAACCTACCATTTACCTATAAATAAGGAGCTAATCATAAATGAAAAAACAAGTTGAATTTTGTTAAACAAACACGTTGTTTGATCTTGAGAACTTTGCTCCCTTGGTTTTTGATTGAACTATAGGCTTATCATCATTTCTAAACCATATAGAGTGTGACGCTCAATTTCCATCCTTTCCATCGACTTTTTTCTATATTTTCTTTTACTTCAATTCTGTCCCAACTCAAATTATTATTTTAAATTAGTGTACTCCATCTTATAATATTAGAATCACAAGTATCATAAAAATAACAAAGATGATAAAAATGATTGATTATCAAATTGGTTAGCTATTATTTGAGAAGATAAAAAATACCTCTGAAGTTATCATTGACCTTTCCTCTGAACATTATGCCATTTATTTGAACTCCATCAACATTCGTAACAACTAACATAATTTTTAGAGTTTTTCTTCCTTATGTCTTCTTTTCATTTCAAGATTTTTTTTCCTTCTCCTTAAGCATTTAGAGTGATTCAACAAATTTTCAAATGAAATTGAAGGGATAGAGATAAGTTTGAGGTGCAGAAGTGAAAACCTAAAAATGAGGAATTTTTGAATATTTAAATAAACATTTTTTTGTTAAATTGAAAAATACAAGTGACATCACTACTAAGATATATGGGCTAATAAAAATCCTAGTACATTTAAGAAAAATCATTCAACCATACTTTCAATAATTACTATAAATTGATAATGCAAATGCTTAAAGTTGATATTGTAAGTGCTCTTGATTGGCTGCATTTTGTGGCAAAACATTGTAGTATGTATGCAGTTAAAGTCTGAAATTAATGCATACTAAATATGGACTGTGCAGGATAAGTTTACTTAGCTATTTTAATAGTTAAGTTGGATGTCACAACTGGATGTCATAACATGGATCGTATGACATCAAGTGGGCAGGTTGGTTTTCTGATAGCTGGAAATCGGGAGATGAATCAGGAGCTCAAGCTGGGAGTCAGGAAACATTTTAGAAACTTTAAGTATACTAAAATGTCCCTGAATTAATGAGGCAGGCTTGCAGGAGATTAAAGAATAGGTTTAACATAAAAAATCTAATGTATGCGCCCAGGCCCAAGGACTGATCTGCTGCTATAAATAACAGGAGAAGCAATCCTAGAAGGCAGCTGTTCCACATAGAGAAGCAGAGAAATCACCATAGTGGTTTAGAAGTGAAGAGGTTGTTCTTCACGATTGTGTCTTAGGAACACTTGTAATTCAAGCAATTAGCTTCTGCATAATTGTCTTGATTAGGTAGTTTCTAGGCTGGTGTAACACTCAAAGCTGTGAAACAAGAGTGATGTGTTCTTGATCAAAGCTGTGAAGCAAGATCAAGGTGTGCGTTTTAGAGTGTCTCTTCAAAACTATTTTTGCAATTGTATCTGATATCACAGGTGTGTGATAGTGGGGGAGTGAGTGGGTATACTCAGGTACTGGAGAGTCTCTAGGCTGAAGTGTCATTGGATAGTGATTAAGTGAGGAGTGTAAACTGGAAATTTAACTCTGAATTGATACTGCTAATAGTGAATTTCCTCCCTGGCTTGGTAGCCCCCAGATGTAAGTGTTGTTGACACTGAACTGGATAATCAATTGTTGTGTGTTCTTTACTGTTTTCAAGTACTGCAAGTTAACTGTTAAGTGGTCTATGTTATTGTTGATGTCATAACATCAGTTATAACATCAGTCTGTGCGCAAGCAGAATTTCAATTGACATCAAAGCAGGCACCCTGCCTGTTTGAATCTGGGTGAGATCTAGGGAAGATAAACTCTGCTATTATGGACAAAGACATAAGATTCACAAATAGATCACCAATTCTGGATGGGTCTAACTATGACTATTGGAGACCAAGGATGTTTGCATTCTTGAAGTCTATAGACTACAAGGCATGGAGAGCTGTGAATTATGGATGGGAACATCCAGTCAAAACTGATAAAGATGGAGCTTCAGTGCTGATCCCTGAAGAAGACTGGACTAAGGATTAAGAGGCTCTAGCTCTTGGCAATTCTAAAGCACTGAATTCCCTATTCAATGGCATAGATAAGAACATCTTCAGGCTGGTACACCATTGTGAACTAGCTAAAGAGGTTTGGGATACCCTCAACACTACTCATAAGGGAACCTCCAAAGTAAAGATGTTTAGACTTCAAATGTTAACCATAAAATTTGAAGGTTTGAAAATGAAAGAGGATGAGACCATTCATGAATTTTACATGAATGTGCTGGAACTTGCAAACAGCTCAGGGGCCCTGGGTGAGAAAATGTCTGACGAAAAAATGGTGAGAAAAATTCTCAGGTCCCTACCTAAGAGGTTTGCAATGAAGGTCACCGTCATTGAAGAAGCCCAAGATATATGTCACATGAAGGTGGAGGAACTCATTGGCTCTCTCCAAACCTTTGAGATAGGATTAAGTGACCAGGCAGTAGAGAAAAAGAACAAAAACGTTGCTCTTGTTTCAAGCACTGCAGAAGAGACAGAAGGAGAAGATGGGGAAAAAGAAGAAAACTTGACAAAAGCAATAACGTTGCTTGGAAGACAATTTAGTAAACTGATCAAAAGGATAGATTAGAAATCAAAGCCCTATGTCAAGAACAAAACCTCTGACAGTGGCAAAGATAAAGCTGAAGACACCACTGGCCAAAGCAAAGGTGTCCAATGTCATGAGTGTGAGGGATATGGTCATGTTAGAAGAGAATGTCCCACATATCTCAAGAAAAAGGGAAAGAGTCTAATTGCCTCTTGGTCTGGTGAAGACTCAGAAAGTGAGTCAGATGTTGAGGCTATCAAACATACCACTGCTCTCAACAGTGTGTGCATCATTGATGGTGACTCAAGTGAAGAAGACATGACATTTGAGGAGCTTGCAGCCTCATATCAGAAGCTTCACATTAAAAGCTCTGATCTGTACCAGCAGGATGAACATCAGAAGAAACTCATCAAGGAGCTAGAATTTGAAAAGGAGGAGCATCTAGTCACTATAGAGTCACTTGAAGGTTAGGTCAGAGTGCTAAAGTCTAGCTTGGACCAAATGTCCAAAACTATAAGAATGCTTAATCCTAGAACTGACACTCTAGAAGAGATTCTGCAAAGTGGTCAGAACTCAGGAGATACGTTTGGACTGGGGTTTATTGAGAGACAAAACCCTGTGCTGAAACTCAAGAAACTCCAACCTGATATTCAGAAGTTAAAGAGGATGTCACGACCAATGTCACAACATCCACCTCACAGAAACTGGAACCAAGTCAAAAGATAGTTCTAAGAGCATAGGTGCTACCATTGTGGTAAACTTGGCCACATTAGTGCTGTATGTTTCTGGCTGCATGGATTTCCTAGCCAAAGAAGTGCTAACCAGGGTAAGCATGGACAAAGGCAGCATCATGCCAACCAGAGCTGGAGGCATCATCAAGCCAAACCCAAGAAGAAGGAAGTGACTAAGAAGCAAAAGCAATGGACTGTCAAGACTGTAGCTCTAACAGCTAACATTTCCCTGAGAATGCCAACCAAAGAGGATTAGTACTTTGACAGTGGCTGCTCTAGGCATATGACTGGAATTGAGGATATGTTGATCAAAATCAAACCTCATTCATCTAGTCATGTAACCTTTGGTGATGGAGCTAGAGGAGAAATCACATGTGCTGGACAACTTGACAGTCCTAAAGCTCCAGAATTGAGGGATGTTCTGTTAGTTAAAGGATTAACTGTTAACCTAATAAGCATAAGTCAGCTATGTGATCAAGGTTTAAAAGTCCACTTTTCCAAAGACAAGTGTGTGGTGATCAATGAAGAGGGTAAGGAAGAAATGAGGGGATCTAGATCCAAGAATAACTGTTACCTATGGGAGCCCAGAAGTAACATAAATGGATTGGTTAATGAGGAAAAAAAGGATCACCTAGGGCTAGAGAAAAGAACTAGGTCCAAATCATCAACAAAATGATCCTCAAAGTATGCCTCAGAAAGAAAAACAGGTTGTAAGAAAAGTCAGGTGGAAAGTCTAGACAAGAAGGGATACCCAAAGATTGGTCATCAGGTAAAGCTAGATAGGCTATATTGGAACCTGATGGAGTCCATGGAAGCTACCCTGCAGAAAAGAAGCAATGTCACTTCTGATGTTATGACCCTGTTCTGTGGCATAAAAGGATCCATCCAAGAGAGGTCTGCTGATTTCAAGAGGG